GGGGGTGGGGGTGGGGGGAACAGGATGGAGGAATAGGACACAATGACCAATTCAGAGACAGCATATTTCAAGCAGAAAGGCTGGGCTGGCTCTTGGGTGACTGTGCCCTTGGAACCAGAGCCGGGCATGATGGGGGTGAGGGGCATGAGGACCGGAGGGGTGGACACTTGCTCTTTAGGCCAAAGCAACCACCAAGAAGTGGTTCTCCTCTGAATGCTGGGCAACAGCCACTGAGGGTAAAGGCGGGGGGATGCAGCGCCAGGGCGCCTGGGAGGGAGTGGGGCAGAGGTAGAAAGTGGGGGCAGAGGGAGGAGAGCTAATGAGAGCCCTGGGAGCATCAGCCAGCAGGCCTTCACCACCCCCGGAGATGTCCCTCCTGCCCCCGATTTCCCGAGTGGGGGTCCCGGGTACAGGGCACGAGGCGCAGACAGACAAGCAAAGTAAAACAGCGCCCATCTTGGGGCAGGGCGGGAAGTGTCACATGGACACAGGGTGAGAAGAGAGAGCGCCTGAGGATCCCAAAGCCAACGCATGGGTTCGCCAGGCTTTGCCCTGAGTGTGCACTGCCTGTCAAATGGCGCTTGTTCAAGTCTTCACAGGCGGCCATGCTCACTGCTCAGTCACTCGAATAAAGCCAGTTCTGTTCACTGAAACCACCGGGTATGACTAAATCATAATAGCCGAGCAGCCCGCCGTTCACCCGCAGCTCAGGCCGGGGCCTAGCAAGCAGCAGCCTGTGGCACGCTGAGCCGGCCACCTAACGGCACAGTGACCTTGGCAACGGGAGCCATGGTGACCGCAATGACGCCACCGCGCTCGCTTTCAGAGAACCCGCACTGGCCCGCCCTCCTTCACCCCCGCCCCCAGGGGCACACGGGGTCCCCCCTCTCCCTTCAAGCCCAGGGGCCTCGGCTGTGATGAGGATCGCCTGCTCCAGAGCAGAGGGACAGGGAGCCAACCGCAAAGCTGACGGAGCCAGTGAGCGGACAGGAAGAGAGTGAGCAGGAGGCAGCGGCAAGCCCGCTCCTCCCGGACGGGAGATGCTCGCACCTGCACTGAGGGGGTAAGAAATGGTGGGAAGGATGGACCAGGGGCCTAGAAAGGAGCTGCTGTAGCTCAGGAAATGCCTCCTAAGGGGAGGGTGGGCCTGGGCGGGGAGACGAATAGCACAGGTGAGGGGCCTAGAGACCCGAGTCAGGAGGTGAGGAAGGGGAGGGGGGCATGTGGGGGACCCTGCCTTGTAGGCTACGCACGAGGCTGCAGGCTGAGGGCTGGGTGCAGGGACTGGCCTGAAGGTCAGCGCATCAGTAACAAGGGGAGCTGGCCGGTGGAGGTCCAGGTGATGCCAACTGTGCCACCCGCTGGCTCTTTTGCTTTCCAGCCGTTTCTCTGTGGCTGGGAAGGAAGTGCGGCGTCAGACAAAGATGAGCCTGGGATTCGGACAGGGCCGTCAGCCCTATCTTCTCATGGGAGTTTGGTTTTGTTTCCTGGCACCTTCCACCTTCACTGGACTGTTCAACATCACTCCAAGCATAGCCCCTCACCACCGCCACAGAACAGCCCGTCCTGTCCCCCTCACCCACTCCTTCCTGCGCCCACCATGGAGCTGTGTCATCACATGCCAACATCCCAACAACCCACGGGCTGGTGACCGATTTCCCGAGTGAGTGTACGGGTGAGGGAGTGGAGTCGCGGGGAAATGAGGCAGCAAGCCCAGGTCACACAGCTTAGCCAGTGCAGGGATCAGGGTCAAGCCAGGCTTCTCACTCCAAAGCCAGTGCTCTCATCTGGCCCCCGACCCTGCAGCACTAGGTCTCAACCCTGGCTGGGCAGTGGGATCCCCAAAAAGATGTGGATTCAGTTTGTGGAGATCGGGACCCAAGTCGGGTTACTTTTAAAAGCCTTGGGGTGATTTTACTGTGTAGCCAGGGGTGGGAACCGGCATGCTGGAGACCCCAGGATTCCGGCACCAGCACGGTGGCCGGCTCAGGTGAGCAGTGAAGTCTCCTTGTGGAGTGAGTGAAGGAATGAAAGCTTTGCCCTTCCCTACAATCCTCCCCGCATCTTCCCATCATCCTCACCCAAAACGTGGCCTTCTCTTGCCAGGAGCAAGCCAACGGGCCCGAGGCATCTGTCCCTCCTTCGATCCCTCAAACATGGACATGTAAACGCCACCCACTCAGAGCATCATGTTTGTCCTGTTACCCCCTGCTGCTGTAACGCTTAGTGCTTGCTCCATCGTTAAGGACACAGTTGCATCCTCGTAGTCTGGTATTTAAGACAACCCTGCTCCAACTTATCCTTTCAATCCCAGCTCCCACGACCCCCAGGTGCTCTGTTCTGGCCAGGAAGGGGTCCTCCTTGTCTCCAATGCAAATCTCGTGTGTTCTTGCCACAGTGACTTCAATAATGCACGTCCCCCCGCCCCTCCTCCACCCATGTCTGGATCCATGAGGACCCTGCTCTGCATCTGCTCTTCACCCCACCCCCAGGAGCCCTTTCCAACTCTGAACGTGTGCGCCAAGAACCTTGCCTGGCTCCCTTCTACATGGCGTCCAATCACCATTCCCTGTGCACACGTCCTGAGTTCCCGACTAAGTTCTGCTCACCGGAAGGCAGCACTGCAGGCATAGAAAGTTGTCTCCCCTGCAGTGACTAGCACTGCACATACCCTGTGGCTGCCACCGGCAGCCGGCATCTCCGGTCTCAGTGCAGAGGGTCTTACCTGTAGTATCTGGACTGCAAGTAGGTGGAACACACGGCCTTGGACACGTGACTGGCTGACCCAAAGTCGATGACCTTCACTCGGTATGGCTGTCTGGACGGATCCACCAGCATGATGTTTTCCGGTTTGAGGTCTGCATGGATAAGACCCAGGCTCTTGAGCTTCATCAGGGCTGTGGCCACCTGCTGGAGGACTGGGCGAATGTACTTGAGGGGCAAGGGGCTAAACTTGTTCTGCTTCAGAAAGTCATAGAGGTTCTGCTCTAGCATCTCAAAGACCAAGCACGTGTGATTCTTGTGCTGGAAGCACTCGTAGGCCCGGACAAAGTTGTAGTCGTCAGCGCTCTCTGTGCTCAGGCGGGCCAGGATGCTCACTTCGATCTGACCTTGCCGGGCATAGGACGGGTGGTTCTTCAGGATCTTGATGGCCACGATTTCATTGGTGCCCCGTTTCCAGCACTTGACCACTTGCCCAAACGTCCCTCGGCCCAGGAACTCTAAAACTTCGTACGTGTTGGTCATGGAGCACAGCACCTCATGCTGGACCAGCTGATAGTCGCCTTCACTGTTGGAGCCACTGTTTTTGGAGGTGGCAGTCGAAGTGGTGGCAGTGGCTACAGTGGCCCCGCTGGCATTATTCTGAATCATGGGTGGATGCTCTTCGATGATCTGCACGCTGCTTGTGTTCTCAATCTCCTCACTCTTACGCTTGAGTCCGCATTTTTGGTAGGTGTCAAGGAGGCTCACAGTGCTTCGACGCATTAGGTTATGTGGTCCGCCGAGGACTTGCCCAGTGACAGAAGTGCTGCTTGCTGATGTGACCACTATGTGCCCGGTGCTTCCTGGGAAGATGATGGTCTGCTCGTAAGGTAGGCTTGGGTTCGGGATGGGCAAGGAGGTGCTGACGGTTGTGGTGGCTGGCTGAGGAGGTGGCACGTTCTTGCTCTGGCTATACACTTTGCTGTGGGAGCCGTACCCAGTCATGTCCCAGTTGGAACTCGGCTCTACTTTCAATTTCTTCACACTACAGAAGGCACTTGATTGAAGGGTGTGAGGGGAGAAAACTTGCACATGTGAGGCCATACCTACAAGAGACAGAAAGGAGAAAATAACGTTTTAGTTGCCATCGCATGAATAAACTCAGCAGATTCATTTCCGTTCTGAGCAGTGGCTGGGGCCTATAGAACATGTCCCCCCACTTACACAAGGTTGCAGAGGTGAATCTATTCCATCCAGAAGCACATTCTGGTCACTCAGTTTGTGGGGCCAAGGAGTTTGTTGTTCCACCTGACACCACCAGGAGGGTGGGAGACTGACAGAGTCAGGAACATATTTAAGATGGAGACACAGGATTTGAATGTCAGGACTTTGTTCATTATATATATTACAAATAATGTTTGTGATAGAAATGAATTCTTCCTCAATTCTCACTGGTTGTAATCCCAGCAAAACTGAAGACTGTATTGTTATGCAATTGTTATGTATGTTGTCCTCGTGGTCAGTTACTCTTTGTCCCAGTTCCTGAGTGTCTGGTTCAGTCATAGGAAGAAACATCGTCCCACAAAGGTCCAATCATGGAGCCACTCACGACCTGCTAGCTTCTGGATGACCCATAATTACCCCTGGGATCTTATTCTTAAGTTACTCTTAGATGAATTCTATAGGGTTGAGTAGATAAGCAGTTGGTTCAGCGTTTGCATTTAGATAATCTAAAGCAGCTACGGCCCGCGGGCTGGATCTGGCCGTTTGAAATGAATAAAACTAAAAAAAAAAGGGCCGTACCCTTTTATGTAATGATGTTTACTTTGAATTTATATTAGTTCACACAAACACTCCATCCATGCTTTTGTTCCGGCCCTCCGGTCCAGTTTAAGAACCCATTGTGTCCCTCGAATCAAAAAGTTTGCCCACCCCTGGTCTAAAGCATTATATCAACCTTTTGGGGGAAGTGGGTAATATAATTCATGGGTTTCAGTTGCTAACTTTTTCTGCTAAATGCATATATCAATAAATTAATTCATCTAGAAAGTATTATTCCAGACCAACATCTCACCCACAATTTAGATAACCTCAGCATAACTCTGGAATAGTTGTGCAAGTTATAATTAATTATGGTGATAGTAGAAATTAAAAAAAATTCATAGAAAATGTATTAGGAAAAATAAGACAATGAGGAAGAATAAGTTATTTTTTTAAAAAAATATATTTTATTGATTTTAGAGAGGGAGAGAGAGAGAGAGATAGAAACATCAATGATGAGAGAGAATCATTGACTGGCTGCCTCCTGCACTCCCCATCCTGGGGATCAAGCCCGCAACCCAAGCATGTGCCCTTGGCCAGAATCAAACCTGGGACCCTTCAGTCTGAAGGCCGACACTCTATCCATTGAGCCAAACCAGCTAGGGCAAGAATAAGTTCTTAAAGGTGACAGTAGAAAAACACAGTGCTATCTTCTAAGCTGCAGTCATAAACATCTCTTATAAGTGGGTTTCCTAACAAGCACCGTTGGTGTTCAGCCATCCTGATGTCCGCATTTCTCTGACCCCCTCATGGTATTTAAGATTTTAATACCCCCAGAGTGGTATTTAACATTTTCATTTTCGCCCCATCGCCCATCACCCTAGTCCAGCCTCTCTCTCAGCAGGCCACCCACCTTCCACTTTGTCCAGAAGCCTAAGGTCAGCAGCGTGCTTTCCACCTTTATTCTCTTCCTTTCAAAACATTCCTGAGTCTACACCCATCCTCCACTCTCTCCTCTCCGTCTCAGAGGAAGAGGTGTCTCCTTTCCGACTTTCAAAGTTCCCCTGTTCTCATGATTCACCCTTTCCGATTTCTCTTGAACCCCATTCCCTCCACTGTCCTCTCTTTCTCCTACAGCTTTTAACTTCTTCCCGTTGATGGGATCCAAGTCCTTAATGAATCAGTGGCTTAATCTCTGTCTTCTGTCTTCTCGTGTGTCACACACACATTCCCAACTTGGAAGGTGAGGGGAGTGATCGCCGTATTCTCCCCTTTGCTTTGTTCCTTCTTCTCACCTGTAATCAGTGCTAGACCCCTGCTCTTCAAGGCTCTGTCCTTAATCCACCTCCTCGCCACCCCACATCCACACTCTGTGAGACTGTCCTAGAGGTGAACGACTTCCTGCCTAACGCAGTGGCCTTTCTTCAGTCCCTAGTCTTTCTCGGTGACCTCTCTGCAACATCTGATACTGCTGACCGCGGCTTTCTTCTCGATGCTCTTATCTGCGTCTATATGAATCTGTCGCCTCCTCCCTCATGTCTCACTGCACGCTGCGTGCTGGGTGGCTTCTTTCCGCTTCCTCCTTTAAAATGTTGGCATCTCCAACATTTTGACTCTTCTCTCTCTAGAAGATAGAATCCATTCAAACAGGTAGAACAGTCATCTCTATGCAGGCGACCCCCACACGTTCAGCACAGGTGAGGCTCTCCCTTGTACCTTCCAACAACATACCTCTGCCTCCTGCTTCATCAAAGACTATCATCTAAAGGTCAACTCATTATCTTTCCTTAAAAATGTAGCCATCTCACCCTCCAACCTATCATCCCCATTTCTGTTCATAAAATAGTCTTCTAGTCACTTGGTTCCAAAACTATGCATTTACCTTTGATGATTCTTCTTTGCCTCCATGGACAAGAAGGTGCTAAGTTTTATTACCCTCTCCTTCAAAATGTATCTTACATCCATCTCTTTATTTCTGTTCTTGTTGCTATTTCATAGTTAAAACATTTACCACTTTCTAGTAGAATTAAAGCAAACACAGACACCTGCTTTTTCTGAGTGATCTTTCTTCTTTTAATTTGCCATAGTCAGCCACCAGACTAACTTGCCCAGGATCTTTCTAAGCATGTCACTCCTCTGTCCAAAAACTCTTAATGACTTTTTCGTGTCTAGAAGATAAAGTTGAGGACTCTTTCACTCAGCATCATCACATTTTTATTTCAACTACCTGTTGGCTTCATCTCCAACTATTAACCTGCCTCAATCTTCAACTCTAATTAAGCTGTTTTACTGTTTTTAAATGCCTCTCAAACTTCCCACCTCCACACTTTTACACCATTCCTCCATCTGGCGCGACTTCACTATTTCTCTCAACTTATCTAAAGACAAGACACTTCCGATCCCTCCCTTTCCCAGACCTTGCCAAGCCACAGTGCTTACTCTCAGCTCTCCCTTCCTATGGCATCTACCATACGTACCACCCATTTGGTCACAAAACGCATTTCTGCCCTGCAAAATCTCTTGTCTTATTGGATTGAACCATTTATCTTTCGTGCTGTTTAACTTTTTACACATTTAGGTCCTGTTTTCATAACCAGGCTATATTCTGAGGGCAAGAACTACAGTTCATACCTCATACTTTGTTGTGTTTTCCCCAGCACTGAGCTGAGTTTATGATACATGGTAGGCACGCAGTTGATGGGAGAAAGCTCTCTAACTGGCCTGGCCTCCAAGAGCGAGCTTAGCTCTGGCTACAGAGTCACAAGCACTTATTGAACCTGGACGCACTTCTCCAGGAAGTACGGAAAAACCTGCTAAAAGCTTTTCATCCTAAGCAAGACATTTTAAAAACTCAGGACAGTCAGCATTCAGGTTCTGCCT